TGATGAAATGGAGAATTAACCATGCTATGAAGCCCTTTCAGTTGATGTACTTCTTATGATCTTGTTTTCTATTTTCCTTTGATGTGTGGTACACACTTAAATGATGCAACATTCTTGGAAAAGAGTATAAATCATTGAATTTTTTTGCTTTTTGCTTGCCTTAAAACATGTTTCTTTTTTACTGACTTGTAACGAAAATATTTTGTTGCATACTTATTACCTAAAGATTTTAAGCATTGTAGATCTTTGTTTTTCTATCTTCCAAAACAATTGATCCCTGCTATGAAGTCCTTTCGGTTGTATGTGTCATCTCAAGTGTGTCGTTCAATTAGAAACAAGTCTTCTTTCATAAAAATAGTAAGCATTGTAGATTGTGTTCCTTGAATACTGCTACCATTGTCCTTGAGAAAATATGAAGACCTTTCTTCATTTTCAACTTATACCAATGCCAAACCGGTAATAAGAAGTTTTTGAATAAATTAAACCTTTCTGACTTATAATAAGTTGACAAGTGCTTTCGTAGAAAAGTATAAGTTGTTTCAAATAAGCAATGCCAAACACCCCCTCAGAATATAATCTTTTTAGATAAAAAAATGAGTAAAACGACTTATAAAAACATGAACCCGAAACCCAAAATGTATTTCTATTCTAATCTAGGATTCAGCCTCCCCCACAACAGGTGTAAACTACCCTCAAAACAAGCCCAAATTTCCTTAGAAAACATCTGTTAATAGTCCCCTAGGACAACTTAAACAACCCCTAAAACAGTCATTTTAGCTGCCGATTTCGGGCCTACACAATCCCTATAGTTGCTGATTTTTTATCTACGAGACAGCTTCTTTAGCTGCTGATTTTTAGCCACAAAACAGCTTCTTTAGCTGCTGATTTTTAGCCACAAAACAGCCCCATAGCTGCTGATCTTTAGCAACAAAACAGCCCCTTTAGCTGCTAACTTTTACACACAAAACCGTCCCTTGAGCTACCACTTTTAAGCCTACACAGTCCGTAAACCAAGGTTGCACCTTGCAGGTGTTTAGTGGACTCGAACCAGAACACATTAGGAACGGTCTAATTACAGGGAAAATTCTTCACAAGATTTTGTATGATGGGTCTAAAAAAGGACCAATCTGTATGATATAGATAAATGAAAACTTTACCAGTAGATTAGCATGAGTTCCTCTTATGTAAACCCACTCAAAGAAAACTACTTTTCTATTGTTCTTGAAATAAGCTTTGAGACTGTTCTGAAATCTAACCAGCTCAATTTCACATTCTGGAGGTGAAGAGAGTGTGTTTGCCAGATGCTCAATAGGTAATATCAGTATATGATATTGATATCGGTATCATAATTTCAATAGGTGAAGAGAGTGTATTTGGACAGATTTGATATCGGTATCATAATTTCATACAAAGATAAGACCATAATTTCTAGAATCAGGTAAATGCACAATCAAAAATTGCAGAATTGGGACATTAGTTTATGAAACATGCAGCCAAATTTAAAAAAAGTCAATCTCAATCATTTTCATCAATCAGAATGCATTGCCTGTGTAGTTGTGTTTCCATGGTGGACCTGAAACCTTTTGTGTTCATTACCATTAGATGTCATTGCCCTCTAAATCCCCTTTCTTTTTCCCCCGTGTTGTGTACACACACACAGAGCCACATATATACAATTTTTTTTCGAGAAAATAATGTAATAACCGATACCACTTACTTTAAAAAGAAGAAATATGCTATATTATAATATAAACTCATTCACATTTTTTTCGCAGAAGAGCTGGCCACAACAGGTATCCATTACGTTATCATTTATGAACTTTTCTTGTAGATCGTGATTCATATGAATAAACCATTAATCCATAACCAACAAACTATGCTAAAAGGAACAATGATAACAAAATGTGCCATGTATTAAAAAATATGGTTCATTAGTACCAGGCAAAGGGCACATTCTATGATTCTATTCATCTAATATGAAGAGTGGATAAATAAAACAAAAACTAGAACTGAACATACAGAATATGCATTTGATGCAGCACACATACACAAACAGAAAGAGACAGAGAAAATCATATGCCAAAAACAATGTAGAAAGCAGAAAAGGGAGGGAAAAAACTAACCACCACTGCAAGATGCAGGAGGGTTCTTTTGCAAGTCCTTTAGCTCCTTCTGAATCCTCTTTAATGCCATCACAAGAAACTGAGATATGCCTGCAAAAACACATGCTGCAAATTGACAAGTACTGTAGAAACATCTTAAAAACAATCATCTTGTAATGATAACCCATCACTCAAATGAACCAAAAGCAACAACAACACTATGTAACAATTCTTGCCTCTCAAATTTCCTTTTCACTTTTCAGATCAAACTTAACAAAATATTTGAGTCAGATTTTGCTTTCTTTAACATATCTTTTTACATTAAAACCTCACATAATTCTTTCACCTGCCTACTCACCCTGGCCCATCCTGTCCAATCCTGTCTGTTGTGTACCAAACAAGAGCCGGCAAGCATGCAGCTAGAATGAACATTTAAAAAAAATTCTAGGCTGTAATCACGAAACTCGCTGCTTTCCAAGATTCTCCTTACGTTCCTCCATACGTATACGGGTCCACACAAGAAATATGGCTTACCTACAAAGCATGTTCAAGACCACATGACTTTCCTCAACAAATTTATTTTTTCAATCACACCTGCAAAAAACATAACAATGCAGGCAGCAATTAGGATTGTGAGTAAATTTGGATTAAAAAGTCTCAACAGAAATTTTTATATGTTCAAAGGGAAAGAAAGAAGCATACAAAAAATAGTAGAAAAAGATATTCCTAATGCATGGTCCCTAGTACTTCTTGCGGGGTGTCGTTCCCTTCTTGGGGACACCTACTTTCGAAATAGACATGTCTTTTCTCAAATACTTGTCTCTACATTACACGCTCTTGCTTTTCCTAATTATCAGAAATACGGAATCCCCAAAAACACCCTTAGTTTAGGATCACTTCTTGTTTCACTACCAATTTATTAACATATTCGCCTGGCTTTTCATAAATAAAGTCTTATATGCAACAGACAATTGTACCTTCTGCAAAAGCATTACAGGCGAATGATGAAAGGTCATGTTTTCTTATCACACGTATCAAGCAAAAGAGTTGCTTACCAAGTTCCAGGAAATTAATGCTAAATTATATTGGCAATTAAGAAACCTCCATCTCCAGGTACTGCATATATTTGTATCGTCAATTGTATCTAAAGGAAAACAAGCAGAAGAAACTCGTGGAGAAGATAGTAAGAATAATTCACCTCAGCTACGAATCTCTTCATTTCTTGGCTTGTTGGCAGGCCCAGTTGCTTCTGCCATTGATCAAACTACAACAAGCACATCTAGAGAAAATAGACTAAATAACATCTTATGTCATATAAAGACACAATCGATTTTAGTTTTCTACAACAGCAGGTCAAGTTTCTTGTTCATGAAACTGTGGTACCAATTGCTATACAAAATATCGGCTGTGATAAAAAAAACAAACCTATGATACCACATAGGTTAACTGCAATTCAAGTTTAAAAGTGAGAAATCAAAATTCAATAGCATTTAAGTTCAAGAACTAAAAGTGGGAAATTAAACCCTAATTACCTGGGCAGAAATTGGAACGGATAGAAAGAAGTCTGTGAAAGAGGGTACAAAAAAGTGAACCAAAATCGATGTAGAGTGACTACCTGGATGAGAGACTGTAAATCGATGGAAACAGAGTAGATTCGATGGAACCGATTGATTACTTGGAGAGTGATAGACTGAGATTAAAGCCTGAGTGATGCATAGAGAGTGTCTCGAAGAGGATGAGCCTGAATCGTTTTGAATAAGGGATGAGTGTCTCTTCGAAGAGGATGCCATTCAAGAATTATTTCAAATTTGAAATTTGAAATCTGAAATGGGTAAGAGTAGAGAAGGCAGTCATAGGATAAAGAAGAAGAAGAAAGTGGCCCAAATTGGTGATTTTAGAAGTCTGATAAGGTGAAGGAAGGTTTGAATCAATTAGGATTTGGTATTGTATGAAACACGTGCATAAATAACTTGTACATTGTGCATGACAATTTGTAATTAAGAATTTTTTTAAAATTCTTGCATAAAATGATTGTAACTTGTGCTTAAAAGATTGTAACTAAGATATTGACTTAAATGCTTATTATAGACTAGTTGTTTACCTGCGCAATGCGGCGGGAGCAATAAATATAAACGATTTCGAAGCTTTGGCGGTTTTGTTACTTTAAGGATGATATATTTACACTTGGGGGATATTTATCCAAATTTTTACTCAATAAGCGCTTACCGGTAATTCTTAAGTTCTAGCAACAAGATATTACTTCTTTTGATCAAACTCATAAACATGCAAGTTCAAGTCATGCAAGTAAGGGGCTGTTTACTAAACGCTTACCCGGTAGGTGCTTGCCAGACAAATTTCCTCACTGGACGAACATGGCAAGACCCAAGAATCTAACCTGGTAAGAGCGATAATAAGAATAAAGAGTCTTACCGGTAAGTGAGGGTGAGGACTCTTACCCGGGTAAGCGCTTACCATATATATTGTTGCACACGATAACATTTTGATATACTACAATCTTACCTAGAAAATAAATTATAGTGTTGACTCCTAACGGTAAACGCTTACCGGGTAAACATTTAGGTAAACAACCCCTAACTTTAAATTAGAATGATGACATGGTGGTGATGCCTCTCTTTTCCAGACGTTGATCAGGACTCAAAATTGCATTTCCTACGCCCACAACCCAATACGAACAAAACAAACGGGAGAAAGAACACATAAATATAAAACAGACTATAACAACATAATTAAACTACCAATCATTATCTATAATACCAAAATTAATCCACTTATCAACCATAACTATATTTTCCTTGATTTGTCCATGTTTAATTGTATATTACTACTTTCATTTGTTAAAATCAAAATTATTTTAAAACAGTAGTTCATTGATGAACTCAGCTTGGTAAGTGCAAAGTTGATAGCAACAACTCAGCCTGGTAAGTAAGTGCAAAGATAAAAAAACCACAGCAGATAATAACAATAAAAAAACCATCCATTCAGAAGAGAAATCAAAATAAACATAACTGATCCATGAAAGACCCCCCAACTTGTGTACATTGAAACATAGAATATGGAGAGCATGTAAGGCAAGGCAAAACACACATCCCTTCATCCCTCGCTCCATCGACTGAAACTGCAAGTCCTTTATCCCCCTCCTTCCAACTCCGTTCTTCCCATCCATGGTGGCTACGTACCCCCCACACCCATTCTACTACCCTAGTCTTTATCTCAAGTGCACCAGGTATGTCCTAGAAAATGTTTAAGGCAACCATATCCAACCTCTTCGACTGACACACTTTCTACTCTCCTCACGGGTGTCGTGATAGCCTCCTACAAACATGCCCAAACAATCACAATCTCCTCGCTCTCAATAATGATAAAAACTTAAAAWTTAACAGAACATGACAATGGTTTATTACCTACCAAATGGAAGTTTTATATTCTAGTTGCAACTCATAAACATATTGTCACAATCTGAAAAACCAAACTGCCACTTGCAAATTACAATCAACGTATTGACAACTTAATATTACCTCCATACAAATGGAAAGAGCATAGTTATAAAGATGTGTGCTCTTATTATCAAGAATAGAATACTGATATGCCTTGAATAAGAAAACCCAAGCATGGAAGCAAAACCCCCAGATTAAAAAAAGACATAATGAAATTGTAAAATCTATTTTACCAACTTCCATTACTAATCAACAATCTAGATATCAAAGAACATAGTAGAAACAACTAATTAGAGGTAAAAAATGAAATGAAATAGAAATGTTTGGAAAGTTGCATACCTTATCCATAACATCTATCCACCAATTTCAGGTTACATGACCATAAGAAGAAAAATTTCAACAGAAATTTCACCTTCAAGCCATAAACAATGGAAGGAAAATTAGTTAAAAGACCTAACTTGAGAAAAAAAAAGGTAAAACTCTTACCTGGAGAAAGCCATACAACTCACTAACTCAGATTCCATTCGAAATCATAAACTGGATGCCATAATCCATCGTTGATTTTGATGAAAAAACAAGATACAAAGCTTGGTATATTGGGAGTAGGAACGAATGAATTTCTCGGGGAGCAGAAATAACATTCAGAACATGCCAACCTCAATCCAGACAACCTATTAAAAGATGTTAAGGGATCAATGGATTGGTTCTTTTGAAGAGACAAATTAGTGAGAACTCAAAATTGATTTAGAACTCTGGATATGGGAAAACCTGGCATGAAAACAAAAGAGAGCAGATGATAAGTCTTCTATTCTCTTTGATTTTTACTCTTTCTTCAATTCAATTCTCCATTTTCGCAGTAGGGAAGCCATGATTAAGAATGATATAAAACATGATTAAGAATGATACAAAATGATTAACATCAAACTATCCAAATCTGATCAGAAACATAAGTCTTACAAACGCTTAGAAACAAAGAGGGTAACTGCAGAAATGGAATGAATTGGAGAACCCAAAACAGAAAACCCAATGCACGGAAATAAACAGAGAAAACATCAAATTTGGTTGCTTATTATCAAGAAACCCAACATAGCAGGAAATGTATTTGAAACTATAAACAGAGAAAACATCAACTTTGGTATTTATTATGAAACTATAAATTTAAAAAAAATGTATTTGACCATGACTTTTGACTTATAAGCACAAGGACCTATAGCTGTTTTGAAGATTTGTTTCAACAAATTATGTTTTTTATTATCTCATAATCACATTATGTGTGATTTTAAAATAGACAACAAATTGAGTCTCTTACATGAAATGATCAATAAATACTCGTAAGAATGGATGTATCTTGTACTTCAATTAATAGTAGAAAACACCAAGTGTGATTTGACTATTGTATTTCATCAATTTGGATATAAAGATAAACAAGATTGAATGGTAGATGCATCACTATATATCAAAGGTCCTACTACTTCCCTCTGCTCAAAGGCTTTAACAATTTATATCAATCGCATACTGCTAAACATACATATCAGATATACTACTTCCCTCTGCTCAAAGGCCTTACGCCTTAAACCTGCAGTGTTACTTATAAGAACAAGGTAAACGGACCACAATCCTCACTGTTTCAAATGCATACAAAAGGGACATAGGGCAACTACAGTAATAAAAAGCAAGTCCATTATATATACAGAAAAGGCAACGAAGAGGGGCTATTTGAACCACCACCTGACAGGAGCATGACAAAACCATGAGGAAACAGCTGCTGTTGACAGAAGCATGACAAAACATGTAAAAAGAATGAACAAAACAGTAGGAAAAAAGAACAAGAATGCAAGGTGTTTTAATGTACAAAGCAGGTGTTCTAAATGTACTATGTATATTGCTAAATACATCCCTACCTCCTAAAGTTGCATAACTATTTTTCATTTATGTTACATAGGCATGTTTTTCCAAAGTTAGAAACAGACCCATAAAGAGGCTAACACATGCTCAAGCGGATTTGTAGTTGTGTATAAGATGCAATGGAAGAAGTATAAGATGAAATGCTAACTATGCAGCATAGTAGAGGACTTTATATATGTAACAGGGCTGTTTGGTTGGTTTCTAGAAAAGAGTCCTATTTCAAATTTTAACATCAATATAAATTTGATGTATACCACAGTATCTTGATCATTCCCACAGCATGAGTAGAGTACACAGGGGGAGAGAGATGGAATCTGGGCATGGCACCGGATAACAATGATGCTTAACCATGATGCTTATGATGTCCAATTAAATTGATGGAGCTATACAGCCACTTCAAACATCAAAACCTTATATGTACAAATACATATGCACACACACATCAAGATGAATATATATACACAGACACATGTAACAGGGCTAATGTTTTTTGCTTCTGTTTCTGTTTCTGTGTGTGTGCATAACAGTATACATGTGACTGTTTCTATATCTATCGATATCTATATCTATATACATGTGACTGTTTCTTTATCTATCATGGCTACTGTATTGATCCATAAGTTTGAACCATACAAACAGTTTACTGTGCACACAGTCATGTAAACAGATTGTTGCTTTGTTTGCTGCTTAGATCACTGTCTATAAATATGTACAAATACATATGCACACACAGGTTGCTGTTTTGGCAAACAGTCCATTTAAACAGGAAATGGAAATATCAAGTTTGTTCATGTAACCAAGTTTGTTCATATAGACATATAAATGGAAATATCAAGACATAGTATATTCAGAGATCTAGTCAACCAATGTTGTTTTAAATTAGTAAATCAAGACATAGTATATTCATAATCATAGTTTCTAGATGACTGATTACAAAGAGAGCTTATCCTAAAGATGTGTTTATACCTGATGAAGAAACAATTGCTGTTGAAACTGTAAGTAAGCACACAAACACAACCAGACTTTGTCTTGAAACTGTAAGCACACAAACACAACCAGTAAGAACAAAACAGTATAGTACATTTTGGCCAATCCAAAAGATGTGTGTTCTGTTTTGTGTGTGTGTTCTGTTTTGTGTTCCTCTTAAAACAAAAACTTGGGTTGTGCMTAAGTATGACTTAGGACAACTACTTTTCACAAGATGAAATGGAAAGCAGATTCTGAAACCTAGAGAACCAAATGACAGCAGCAACATATTAGAGGACTTCATATACTAAACCAAACTCATATCTTAATTTAGAGATCTTAATTAGAAATGGTTATGAAAAATGATGAAACTTACTTAAGCAGGGAATGGTTAATTAGACCTCTGGTTGCTGCTGTATCTAAACACACACTCTTACACGTCACATAAGTATAGTCAATAAACACTTGAGTTATTGTGTTCATGAAATCCGCATACCTTCAAAATCTATTAATTACAGTTTAAGCACAATACACACACAACAGCAACATATGGTTAGGTGAACAGGGGCAGTGCAGGTGTAAGTATACAAAACACTATCTGCTATTATTTGCTTCCACACTCTAAGAAGGGCATCATATTTTTTTACTGAGCCAAGGCAATTTGAAAAAAATTATGAAAAACATAAACCTTTCCATAGAGATGCACAAAAGAGCACAAAGAACCTCACCAATAAGATTAAGCAACACTGTCAAACAAAGAACCTCCCAATATCGATTTGAACACATATATAGTACTTAATGGTTTTGTTGAAATATGGCAAAAAAGTAGATATGCACATACCATAAGTTTGAACCAGCAGGCAGCCACAAACTTGTTTATGTGCACTAACCTTAAACTTGGATCTGGTACCATAAGTTTGAACCAGCAGGCAGNAAGTTTGAACCAGCAGGCAGCCACAAACTTGTTTATGTGCACTAACCTTAAACTTGGATCTGGTACCATAAGTTTGAACCAGCAGGCAGCCACAAGTCCACAACAGTTCATAACAACCATTGGAATGGTTATGGACTTATGTGAAACATTAGATCACTATGTACTTAAGCAGGGAATGGTTATGGAGTTATGTAAAACATTAGATCACTGTCACAAATAAGCTGACTCATATCTTAAGGTGCATATAATGTATATGTTATAAGTTATAAATAAATGTATATGTTTCCTTGTTAATAGCTTCAAGTTAAGGCAACTGTGTATTTTACATCTTTGTTAAGGCAACTGCATTGTTCATTTACTGTTTGCATTCTCTACTGTATACATATACATAGATATTCACAAATGCTACAAAAATAAATTTTAAAAAGAAGCATATTTTTAGATCAAAATTATCTAAAAGTTGAAGCTTCATACCACCCATCTGTGTGTGTATAAGATGAAATGGAAACAACATATTCTGTTTCTGTGTGTGTGCATAACTCAATCATGATGGTAATAGTGCATAACTCAATCATGATGGTAATACAGGGGTGCAGGTGTTAGGATCATCATATTCTATAGCAACAGATCAGCCTTTCCGGTTTCCATCCACCTTCACGTTTGTTGTTATTAGGGCATTTTCCACTCTTGAAGGTCACCTTTCCCTCCTCCCTCCCTCATGTTAAACTCATATACGCTGATCAACTGCCAACCTCATTACTTGTAATTATGTCTCCTTCCAGGAATTGGCTATTCACTCGATCCAGATTTTTCATTCGTCAAGATTGCTGCACCTTATGCACAGGTTATATATCTTTGTGTGATACACTAATCATATAAGTTTCAACAAAAACAGATTATTGAGTCCCTTCGAGATTAGATCTTTAATCATCCGAGTCGCTTACAGGAGCTGTTAGATCTCAAACAACAGCGGGATAGTGGAACACAAATTGTCATTAAGGGTTAATATATCAAGAACCATCTGGATGAGGAAAGTTCATGGCAGTTGTTACATCTGCATTTGTTAATTAATTAAGACAGGTAGAAGCTTAGAACAATGTTATATTGGTGATTTGTTCTTTGTTTATACTACATAGTTTCAACAGCAGGCAGCAGGTGTACTGTGTTGTGCTGCTACCATTTGTACACAGGTGCAAGTTCTAATAAATAACATGGATATGCAGTTCAAAGAATGCAGACCACAAAGGAGTTTAGAGTTAGAGTTAGCAGTGCACGTATGGGGTATGTCAACAGCAGGCAGCAGGCACATGAAGAAACAAGTCACACACTGTGCAACTGTTAACTGCCTTCAATGTAAATCCTCATACATTTCTATCTATATCTATATCTAAACCAAAAATGATAGAATTATGGTATGTGTGTGTGTTTTGTTTTTCTCACATTTTGATTTGCAGCAAGCAGCTGCTGCTGTAATGCTAAAAAATTAGAATGCAATAACTTACTTCCTTATACCTGCTGTTTGCCAAGGCACAGAGGTATGTATGCTTTGGCGCACACACACTTGTAGAGAAGCATATGGGCTCAAACACATTGAAATGCCTGGAAGCTAAATGCCATTTTTCAGAACCCACAAAATTTGGTACAAAAAATCATCAAGAATTATGTACAGAATGGGTGGTTCTCATCAAAATTTTACCAGCCCATTATTTTTTCTTCCTAAAAAAAGCTAAAGTGATTTGTTTTGGTTATGTAACCAAAGAGTAACCAAATTTTAAGAATTTGTTAGGTGTTCAGCGTGTATATTACACTACATTCTTCCCAAATAATATTCAGACTTCCATGCATTTGTTCAATCTCGAAAGAGCCACATTCCATAAGAGAAAAGATGTAACACACATGAACCAGGTTCGAAATGACTGTATGTTCTACAATTGGAGTCCACCACCTATAGAAATAAAAAACAAGAGTCCCATCTGGTGTGAAATGGATCAAATACCATAAATCATCATAATTCACTATCAATCAGATCTAAGTCAAAATGACTACAAATAAATCTACGCAAAATCATGAAACCCCAAATTAAATTACCAAGAACAACTTCAAACACATAATCAATACCCGATCAAGAATAACTTCAAACACCCGTGAGTTAATTAACAAAAAAACAACACAGAAAAAATTGTTCACCTTGACGAATAAGATGAAAGCATGGTTTATGTAAAACAGTTTTAGGGATCAAAGCAAATTTGAGAACTTAAATAAGTAGGTTACAAATAACTGTTTTGTCAAAAGAAGAGAAGAGAATCATAAATCAAAGTTATCAACAAGAAGAACCAAGTGAATAATACCTCAGAGAAATTGCTAGGGCTTTGAAGAAGCTGTGGAGAAATCAAAACCTCCAAAGTCTGGTTATATGCAGCGATGAAGTCTTCTTGGGAGCCAGCCATTTGTGCAAGGTTTGCAGCAATTGAAGAAATCGTATGTTGACCATACTGATTTGGTTATGGCGCATGAACATTCATGAAGAAGAGCATGGAAAAGTAGAAGAACAGAGAAAGTCATTTTGACCTTACCCCAAAATGGTTTGGCGGGGAAGGGGTTCCTGGAAGTGGAAGAGAAGGAAAAAGAGTCCGACTATTTGCTTCTCTATCAATGCATAAAAAGCTTGTACCATATGCTTTGTGACTTGTGTTTAAGAGTTATTTGAATTTGTTGCATAAAACCATCGTAACTTATGCTTTAGGAGTTGTAATTAAGATATTGACCTAAATGGTTATATATGTAGTATAGACTAGGATGGAAGAAATGCCCATGAACTCAGTAACCTTTAGCCACCTAACTCCCCTTGATGGACAAGGTAGGTGCATTTAGGTGGAGATGTACCGGTGATATGGATGCTTGAACCAAGTGAGGATAGGCAGATCATGCCCTTGAGATGGTAAAAAGGTAACATCATAGAAAAACAATACACAAAATCTACATAATGATAAACAACAAAAATGGGCAAGACACCACAAAACTAAATGATACTACAATCCATAAAAAAATTAAATCAATAAATTCTCAAAACCATTAAAAGAACGACTATCAATGGATGAATAGAACATGAAAAGGTAAATCCTGACCTTGAAACCCACAAAATGCTAGCCTACTTTAAACTTTACCATAAAAATGGAAGACAAACTACCATCTATAGAAAAATTGAAACAATTGAATGTCAAAACGATTGAGAGAAAACCACAATCAATTGGTAAATGGAAGCCGAAAACTAAATCCATTACCTTGGACTSAGGAGGACCAAACGCCCATAAACTCAGTCACCTTTAGCCACCGAATGCCCCTCAATGGACAAGGCAGGAGCATATAGGTGGTGGTGTACCCAGGTAATGGATGCTGGAACCAAGTGAGGATAGGTGGATCATGCCCTCGGGGATGGTAAAAAGGTAAAATCATAGAAAAACAATACACAAAAGCTAGCTTACATAACGATAAACAACAAAGTTGGGCAAGACGCCACAAAACTAATTGAAGCAACCATATTTAGACAATCAAAACTCAAAACCATTAGAAGAAAACGACAATCAATGGATAAATGAAACTTGAAAGGTAAATCCCTGACCTTGAACTCAGAAAGGCCAAACACCATAGAACCAAGTAACCATTAGCCATCCAACGTCTAATCTAGAAGCATATAGGTGGTGATGAACCCATGTCATTGATGCTTGAACGAACTTAAAATAGGGGGATCTTACCCTCACGATGGTAAACGATACAAAAGCACAAAAAAACAATCCACAAAATGCTAGCCTACTTTAAACTAAACCATAAAAATGGGAGACCCCGCAAAACTAAAAAAAACTATCATTCATAGACAAATTGAAACAAACTAAAAGAAATTGTCATTCGTACCCGCAATGGACAAGGTAGGAGCATTTAGGTGGAGATATATCGGTGATGTGTAAAAACAACCCACACAATCTACAAAATGATAGCTTACTTTACGATAAACAACAAAACACCACAAAACTAAATGATGCTATAATCCACATAAAAATTAAATCAATAAATTCTCAAAACCATTAGAAAACCGACAATCAATGGATAAATGGAACTTGAAAGGTAAATCATGACCTTGAACTCAGAAAGACCAAAAACCCCCTCGTGACCTTAGCCACCGAACGCCCCTTAATGGACAAGCGAGGAAAATATAGCCGTGACATGAATGCATTAGCTAACCGAGGAGAGAACGATCTTACCTTCAAGATGTTAAACATTGCAAAACCACAAAAAAAAAGAAACCCACAAAATGCTAGCCTACTTTAAACTTTACCATAAAAATGGAAGACAAACTACCATCTATAGAAAATTTGAAACAATTGAATGTCAAAACGGTTGAAAAAAAACCACAATCAATGGATAAATGGGAGCTGAAAACTAAATCCATGACCTTGGACTCGGAAGGACCAAACGCCCATAAACTCGGTCACCTTTAGCCACCGAACGCCCCTCAATGGACAAGGCAGGAGCATATTGGTGGTGGTGTACCCAGGACATGGATGCTTGAACCAAGTGAGGATAGGTGGATCATTCCCTCAGGGATGGTAAAAAAGTAAAATCATAGAAAAACAATACACAAAAGCTAGCTTACATAATGATAAACAACAAAATTGGGCAAGACACCACAAAATTAATTGAAGCAACCAGAATTAGACAATTAAATCTCAAAACCATTAGAAGAAAAGACGATCAATTGATAAATGAAACTGAAAGGTAAATCCCTGACCTTGAACTCAGAAAGGCCAAACACCCTAGAACCAAGTAACTATTAGCCATCCAACATCTGTCAATGGACAATCTAGAAGCATATATGTGTTGGTGAACCCATGTCATGGATGCTTGAACGGACTTAAAATAGGGGGATCTTACCCTCACGTTGGTAAACGAAACAAAAACACAAAAAAACAATCCACAAAATGCTAGCCTACTTTACACTAAACCATAAAAATGGGAGATGCCGCAAAACTAAAAGAAACTATCATTCATAAACAAATTGAAACAAAACTAAAAGAAACTGTCATCCGTACCCGCAATTAGAGTTGAAGTCTCAAGGGAGCAATTGTGAAAATGTAACAGAATAAACAAAACTAAAAGAAACTTGATTTTTAGTAAGATTGAGGAATGGTGCTCCCTTGAGAATCGGCTTAATGCCATAGCTTTAAATCATCGTGTTTCATGATAAGTACCAAGTTCAACTTGGATTGAAACTCGACAATAATCTGAAAAATTTACAAGTAAACACAAGAATGTGATTATTCGAATCATAAAATGAAGCAAAGAGAGACGATAGATGGAATATAAGTCAGTTTGCTAATGACATTAGTTATGAGTTTTCAGTTCATCTAGATGCCGAGGTTCCTCTTCTTTTAGTCTATTTTCCTGGAATCATTTCAATAATGTGAATGCGTCACAATTACCAAGTATATGTGTGGGGAAGTGGTTTTGAATCCTAAAATGCATCAAGGTTGAGTGGTATGCTACACGCTAATAACAATAACCAAGAGTATACAACTTGATTCTTGTGGTCTATTATCCTGAGTTATTTCAGTAAAGGGTCCATCACTAGCCAAATACGCATTAGAGCCTCAAAATCTTGTAAATAAGTAACCAAGACAAGATGTGCCAATTGCGATAGGAGTTTAGAGCTTGATTAAATGCTAGTTCCTCTTCTTGTGGTCTGAAAACATAATTCTAACTTTCCTTTTATGAAACACTCTCTAAGCTGACTAAAGTAGAAAAGAAGGAAGGAAATATATGCAATCTCTTGCATCATATCCTACAATCTTTATGATCAAACAGAAAATATGGTGTTATAGAGGCAAGAAACAGTGTACATTGCCTGATTCAATTACAGTGTAAGGTCCTCTTACATCATTATTGTCTCCAGAAATCAATAAGTCAGACAAATACATGTCA